CCCAAAATTTATTTTCAAGATTAAACCTAAGGAATTAAGTGATTATCCTTAACAAATTTAATATTGAAAATTATTTAATGTTGCGTGCATTTGCCAATAATTAGAGCTCAAATTCTATGTACCTTTGAAACACTGATTTTATTTAAAAGAATATGAAATGGTTAAATATCAAAAATAAGGAGGCCCGCCAGTGGGCGAGCTTAGTCGCTGAACACTGGTTGTTCGGTTCGGGGCTCTAGTGCCGGAGAACGGGCTGGCTGCAAAGTCCACCACGAAGGCATCACTTCCCTTAGGCTGATAGCCCTCGAGTGCTTTGCCATAATTAAATAAACGAAATCAAACCAATGAAAAATAAGGAACATTATTTAATAGATAATATTAATTAAAAAATTTCTGAAGTAATTAAAGAAAAATTTTAAACTTTCAGATCCGTAAAATGGGTTTGTTTGTTTGATTATGGTAAAGCACTCGAGGGCTATTTGCCTAAGCGGAGGGATGTTTTCGTGAAGGACTTCCTAAGGAAAAACGGCTCGCATGTAAGTTACACATGGGGAAAACCACAAAAACATACATTTAAGGTTTATTTAATTTAAGCAATTAAGTAAGGGAAGAAAGTTATCATCATATAAATTAGGGAGTTTATTTTTCTGTGCCTGCCGAGAGTTGTTAAATTTGTTTTCAATGAAAAATACGTCTACTTAGAAAACCTACAATTGCTGTAATTTTTAGAGAAGAAATTCGGTGGTTATTATTTCATTTTCACACAATGAAATTTTTTAACATAAATCAGAAAAACTGTGCATGATTCTCGTACTTAAAGGCGGAAGAGTGGGGTTTTAAAGATAGTTAAAGCATGTAATTTCGTAAAAAATTCAGAAATACTGAAGGAATACTACTATAAAACAATTTTGTATGAATACCAGTATTTAAAAAAAAAATAATATAAATTAAATTATCAAGAAAAGGAGTCGAAAAATGAAAAACTAAAGAAATATTAAACATTCTTAACTTTAGACACTTAAGAATATATTGAGTTCAATACATCTTAATCGAAATCAATAATAACATAGGCTTTAATAATAATATTTGGTCTCTTGTAGAAAAAAATTTCGACACTTAATTTTTATTTATCAAATCAACATTTAATCATTTTCACAAAGTATTAAAGATGCTGCAGAATTTAATAAATGGAAAAGTACAAACTTTGGGCTTTATTTTTATTTTATTTATTTATTTACGTATTCCAATTCATACACCTTAAACCCCTTATGATCTTCGAATATGTGACTGTTGCAAGAATTGGGATATGTTTATTTATTTTAAAAGCAATTATTTCCAACGTTTTACAGCTGACTACATAATTATAGCTGGCTATTGGGAACTCGTAACCAGAAAGTTTATGTTGCCAGAAATATTTTTGTAATTTAATCCGCTTTGGAACAAAATGTTTCGTAATGTTTCCACCTTTCCGTGCATGATATTTTAAAAATGGCTAATGGTACATATACTTGAAATTTCATGGAATTCTTTATTACTAGGCATTATCTTCTAACTGAACCCAAAAATCTGATGGAATATTTTAATATTTAAAAAAATTTTATGCTCGAAAACATAACAGATTTTTTTAACAAAATACATTTTATAAACTCAACTCCAAATAAAATTAAATTTAACATGAAATTCTTAGAATTTTGGGTTCACAGTAGTTTCCTAATGTTATAAAAGTTATGTATTAAATATGTAATTAAATTATGCAATAGGATATTTTAAACTGTGCGCGCAAGGTGGAAACATGCCGAAAAAGTTTGTCACAAAGCGGATTAAATTATAAAAATATTTGTGGCAACACAAACTGTCTGATTACTATTTCCGAAAGCAGCTATATTATGTAGTCAGCTGTAAAAAGTTGTAAAAGTAATTGCTTTTAAAATAAATAAGTTATCCCAACTCTCGCAACAGTCACGTATTCGAAGATCTTATGGGTTTTAAGGTGTATGAGTCCCCTTAAATATGATTTTAAAATTTAAAAAAACATATAATACTTTTCTCGTAAAGTTATGCCTAGATTGAACAAATGTGCTATGTTAACTGGGATAACACTTTCTAATCCAAATTCGGCACATTATTTGTTTACGTTGCGTTGCCCCATAATACTTACTGGCAGAAATTAATATGATAGTTAGCACGTTTTCTTTTTGGCCATATCGATTTCGCTGAATGACAGACGATTCCCAGTTTTGTGGTCTATGACACTTTTGCCACTTCAAAGGTTGCAAAGGATGTGAAGCGACGCCCCGGAAGGCCATAGGAACAAGACGAATGTGTCAACCCAAACCCGTGACTGTGCGCGTGTTTGTCTTGAATCAGCTCACTGCCATCTCCAGCCTTTAGCAACGAAGTACACACAGATAGTGCAGCTTATATTCGCAAGGGCAAAGAGGAAAGAGTTTTTTTTTTTTTTCCCTCTTCACGTGTTCCTTGGTCATACGGCAATTTTTTCAGAACTTGGTGAGTTCTAATTTGTTTACTTAACCCTTAGGGAAGCAGGCCAATCGATTGTGCTTTAACGTTTGGTTTTTATGTAAATATAAACAATAAACGTAATGGGTAATACCTGTTTTTTTGGAATGAGGAACTGTATTTTATGAAATTACGAACTGTTTTCTAGTTTAAAATAAATCCGAGGATAATTATAAATGCATCACTTAAAAATGCTTTTGATATTTTTTATATTATATTTATTTTTAATATTTAATAATAATTGTGCATTTTTTATGGATTTGTGACATGTGGCTTTAAACTAATAAAATTTGTGAATGAGTAAAACAGTATACATTTTATCCACTTATAAATTATATAGATTATTTGTAATTTTTAATAGCATTACGTGTATGTATTCGAAATATATATTTATGCGAAATTTTGCATTGTGGCTTAATTTTTCTGTTATTAATTCTTTGCAATATTTTATGAAATATTATACAAAGCTTAAAAAAAGTATCGAATTAATTTTGATTTGTTTAACCACCGAGATTCACAGCTAAGAATATTTATGGAAAAAAATTGTGTTTAAATTTATTTTTTCGAATTTTTGCAATAATACATTTGTTTCAATTATCACTCGAGTAAATTTATTTTTAAAATAATTTGTTTTAGTGGAAAGACAGTATGTTATTATTTAAAGTGTATTAATTAATTTTATTATTGATTTATCTTAAATGCTATTATTAAATAGATGTTTGGGAATACCTGTAATTGCTTTGAAATTTTTTTAATAGCAGAAGTTATCGAAAAAATTAAAAAGAAATAAATTAAATAAACGCTGTCATATAAGCAATGCTCTCAGAAAAATTACTTGTTGATTATTTAATAGTTTTCTATATGTTAAATTTATGAATATGAAATTTGAAATGATGCATAAGGGAAAAAGTATGTATGAACTAGGAGACACTCATAGACGAAGCATGTCAGAGAAAGAAAACAGAAATTTATTCCATGTGCAGTTGCATTTTTTTCTTTATTCAGCTTTAATTAATATGATAAATTTAATTAATACAATTAATATGATTAATATGAGCTTTAATTAATAATGTATTATTAAATACATAAACACAACAAAAAAATGTCAAATTCGAACTGCAGTTGAATTTGTCATGCAAAATGATATTATTTAAGACGGAAAAATTTTGTCAAAATTTGACTAATTCTAAGGATTTTGTCAAAATTTGACTAAGTCTAAGGTCATCGGCAGATTTAGTAGGGATATCAGTGAAGGGTATGGCCTCGATACCAGTTTTTGTTCCATTTCTTTTAGGAAATTTACAGTGGATTTTGATGTGTGACTGCTAGCTTTGTCCTGATGGAGTCTCACAGATGGATGGCACTGTCGGTAAAGCGATGGTATTTCATTCAGAAAAATTGGCGATAAAAAATATGTTCCTGATAGTATTTGGAGTTAATCTTGACATTTTTTTGCACTCTGTTTATTTTTAACTTGCCATTATAAGAAAAACCAGCAACAATCATGAATCCCTTAGAAAAACTTTCTTTCGATTCTTTGAACCATGTACTTAAATTTTTTTCCCCTCTCCCCTTTATGATAATAAAAGGCTCTTTTTTTGTTACAATCATTTAAATACATCCATGCTTCATCTATTGTGACAACTGTTTTCCATTTTTCTTTGGATAAGTGTTTCTCGTATAGAATTCTGCAGCGTGTCCTGCGTTGAGCGATATGCTTTGGAAGAAGACGATGCACATTGCGTTTTTTCGCTTTCTTAAGATTTAAATCAACGTTTATCATTTTGTTTGTTTACAGTGGACACCGAGCATTTTAACGATTTTGCAACTGTTCTTTGACTAGGGGGTTTTTCTTTAATATTAAACAACGTACCTTTGCAATAGTCGAAGATGTCCGTTTTTTCCTTGGATACGTGTTTGGAATTTTTGTCCCACTTGAGGCTCCAATTTGACGTTTTTTCGCTTTATTGTTGATGATATTACCTATCGACGCTTTAGATATCACAAAATCATGACTCTCACATCGTTTTTGGATAACGGAGTATGCATATTTCTCTTCGGAAAGAGCGTAAATGTAGCCTTCGAACCACTGCTTTTTTAAATTCGCCAATTTGAATCAAAACAAAACTTTCAAGCCACAGACGGTAATTTTGACTTTTAAAAACATAGTACAATTGCAATGACTTCTTTTGCAGCAAACGAATTTTTATTACCGCTTACCAAAATCGTCTAAAAAATGTGCGAACAGCCTCTGTATATAGAGAGAGATTACAAGCAAATACACGTGGGAAGAAAATCTTGAAAATGTGAATCTGTAAAGCGTATATGCTTCGATGAACGGCTTTGATATTAGAATAGCTGTGCTGTTAGAATTTATTGCACCAACAGCGTAATACTCTTGTTTTGTATTAGAATTCATTTATATTTAGATTAGGTATTCCGCATGAAATTCGTTCTTATTGCAAAATTTACTCTTTCAGGTGGTGATGAAGATGATGGAGAATCCGCTGTCTTGAGCTTGGATAGCTCGTTCTTGGTGACTTCTGACTCTGAGGATAGTTTGGTCCTCCGTGACTTCGGTAGGGATATGATCACTGATCTTCAAGAGACTCCCCTGCCGAAGGAATTAGAACTTCGTGCTGGTTCTCAACCACTGGAGTACGCCCTGTGGACAAAAGTTGAGCTAAGTCGAGGAAAAAGATTTGGTCCGATTCCTGCTCAGCTCAAAGATTCCCAGCCCCCTAGCTCGGATGTATGGAGGGTAAGTAAAAGTGTCTGCCTCTTTTTTTCTGTTAAGTGTCAGAGCAGTCTACCATAAGATATCAAATACTGAATTGATTTAAAAAGTGACATAGTAAGCAGAATCACCTCAAAAACATATTTGTTTTCTTTCTTTAAATAAGATTTTAAGTTGATGTGTAGGACTTCTCCGTTAAATTTAAAATTTGCTTAAAAGGACTCATACATCTTAAAACCCATAAGATCTACGAATATGTGACTGTTGCAAGAATTGGGATAACTTATTTATTTTAAAAGCAATTACTTCCAAGTTTTTATAGCTGACAACATAATATAGCTGCTTTCTAAAATAGTAATAAGTTTGTGTTGCCCCAAATATTTTTATAATTCAATCCGCTTTGTGGCAAAAGTTTTCGTCATGTCTCCAACTTACGCGCACCTTTAAAACATTCTGTTGCATAATTTAATTCCATATTTAATATACAGCTTTTATAACACTTGGAAACTACTGTGAAGCAAAAATTCTAAGAATTTCACGTTAAATTTTTATTTTATTTGGAGTTGAGTTCATAAAATGAATTTTATTAAAAAATAACTAATATTTTCATGCATAAAATTTTATAATATTAAAATATTCATCAGATTTTGGGTTCAGTTAGAAAATAGTGCCCATATAAAGCATTCCATCAAATTTCAAGTATATACCATTAGCCATTTTTAAAATATGCGCATAAGGTGGAAACATGACGAAACATTTTGTCACAAAGCGGATTAAATTTCAAAAGTATTTGTGGCAACCAAACGTTTTGGTTACTAGTTTCCAAAGCAGCTATATGATGTAGTCAGCTGTAAAACGTTGGAAGTAACTGCTTTTAAAATAAACAAAATATTCCAATTCTTGCAACAGTCACATATTCGAAGATCATAGGGGGTTTAAGGTGTATGAGCCCCCTTAATGTACAGAGTTAAAGAAAAAATATTTCACTTATTTACTCGCCCTTTTTACGTTGTTCTAAAATAGCTATCGATTCGAAATGGATGTAGATCATTTTGATTAAAAATCAAAAATTGTTTAAAGTCTTTTTTTAAATCTTATAATTTTCAATGTCTAGCCTATTACTCAGTTTACCCGATTTGTAACATTCCATTTTAATCACCGAACAATAACACAGTCTAGGTACCCACCATTAAGGAGTTTAAAAAAATGAGCAGCATTGGAAGGGAGAGAACAAGATTTTCTAAAATTCGGCTTTCTAAAATTCAGTATTTACTCATTCAGAGCGCGTGAAAGGGTACGGGTATTGAAATTCAATTTATAGCATTGTTTTATAATTTGTGGAAACCATTCGATTGGATAAGTCTCATACCTTGCGCATATAATTGAAGGATTTTACCAAAAAACGAGACATGCAGGGTGCTCATAAAAAAAAAATTGCAAATTTTTTTCACTTTTACTGCTTCGAAAAAATACTGACTCTACAGTGGCACCCGAAGTAAAAAAAAAAAGTGGTGGATGATGATTCTTCAACACTAGGATGTGGCCATTGGGTCCCGTTATCCCCAGTCGCCCTTTAAAAATGTTATTTACTCCTTCCTTTCTGCATGCCTTTGTGATGTAACGGTCAGCACACTCGGCGCGTATTCGAGAGGTCCAGGTTCGAGTCCCGGGAAGAACATTTTTTGTAAACACATTTTTCACTTCTCCTGCTTCGAAACCTAATGACTCTACAATTGCATGTTTTTGTAGATACATGTAAATTCTGGAAAGAAATTTATTGTGTCTCTGAATGTTTGCATATGCTTTATTTAGTTCTAATTCTTCTATCTACTTATACAAAGGGTATATCAATTACGTTCACATTTCTAAAAGGTACGCAAAGTATAAATAATTGAAAACTACTGCTCTGTTGGATCAAACCGATCCAACAGAGTAGTAGTTTTGTTTAAGGCAAAGTCCGAGAGGACTGTTTGCCTGAGGGAGAGTTGCCTTCATGGAAGACTTTTTAAAGGAAACTGGCTGGTATCCACGTTACGCATAAGGAAAAATTTAAGTTGAAAATCCTTCAATGTTTTTACCTTTTTTTTTTTTTTTTTTTTTTTTACTGTGGAAGGCAGTTGCCTTTGATGCCTTTGAACCATTCAATTTGGCTCTCAAAATTTTTATCCTATTTTATAAATCTCTCTTTTGAAGTAAGTACTGATTCTTTGATAATGTGGAGGTAAAAGTTTCATGCCGAAGTAAACGATTCCTTTCTCCATTCTTGATCCATAAGGAAAAAAAAACCACAAAAGTGCCCATGCAGATAGAATGTTCGTCGGAATATGAGCCCGGGTCGAACTACCAGTGTTTCGCGACTTTACCGTTCAGCATCTGGTGAAAAATTGCTATTGAGTAAAAGACGCAACTTTTTAACCAAAGTGTTTTGCTTTCCTTCTACTAAATAAGAATTTTAAAGTTCGGAAATTCTCTATGTATAGTATTGGGTCAGTCTATAAATTCGTGCGCAATTTTCGTAAATTTTTAAATAATATAAAAGAAACACAATTTAATATTTAAATCAATCATATATTTTCCTCCATTATCTACAATGTCTCGCCATCTTAGAGGCAGCTTTTTTATGCCATTGCTGTAGAAAGACTCTGGTTTTGATGGGGGGAAAAAAAAAAAAAAAAACTTGAAGCTTCATTGTGTACATCCTGCTTAAAATTTAATTTTTAATCCCAGTAAAAAATTTTGTAATGCACGAAATAAGTGAACATCACTTGGGGCAATATCTGGGGAGTAAGCAGGATGTGGCAAAAGCTCCCAATTAAGTTCACCAATTTTTTGCAGCGTTGTTCGAGCCGTATGCGGGTTAGCGTTATCATGCTGAAACAACACTTTCTTGATATTCACCCATCGTAGGCGTTTTTTGATTCATTCTGAGTTTAGACGGCAACGTTGCTCACTATAAACTTCTGAATGAATCGTTTGATTTGGTTCTAACAGTTCAAAACGTCCTGAACGGGGTTCATCATCCATGCTGCTTTTTCCAACTTTAAATTTTTTAAACCATTTCTGGGCAGTCCTTACACTACTAGTGTGTTCACCTTGTACACTATTAATTTTTATCGCTGCAAACCTGGCAGATTCACCACACGAAAATAAAAAAATCTGATGTGTACAACACATGACTTCCTTGTACGGAATATTAAATTATACCTATTTTTCTTGCATTTCATTTAAACTTATTGGATTGAATTAAATCTACCGAGCCGACAGTGCATAAACCACAATAGAACAAATGCGTTCTTTAAAACTTACTCTATTGTTACCATAGCGACATCTGGCGTAGGTTCCTTAACAGTATTATATTTGTTCATATTATAACTCAGAATGCACAAATTTAATCATTTAAGATTAAATCTGATCGTGGCCACATGTTTCACAATACTATAATAAAGCTAGAAAGAGTAGAAAAAGAAATTAAGCAAACAAAACAAAAAGAAACAGTTTTTCACAGACGATTGAGTACTTCTCGTTCAATTACTCTTGGACTTCGCAACAAGGCAAAAATACATAAAAAGTCAAAATATTTGTATTATCAATTACGAAGTAAAAATCTTAAACAATTATTCCTCGAAAAAATTCGAGAAAGGATTAAGCATGATTAATTCGCAGGCGTTATATGTGTTGTTGCGAAGATAAGTTTCTCTAGATTGGCAACAATCCACTATTCTCTGTTCAATGTAAACAAGCAATGGCGGCCATCAAAAAAATTATTAGGCTAACGGCACTTAAAACAACTTTAAAATGTTGATATTCTAAAAATTGCATACAGATTTACTAAAGGCTAAAAACCTAACCAGAAGAAAAGAACATCATAATTCAATCATTTTTTAAAAGCAAAATTGTACAATTTACAACATATAAGATAAAGAAATTGAATACTGAGCCGGTAAGAGTGGATATATATAAATATATTATATACGTTTGGTGCGGCGGATTGCAACCAAAATACGATGTGCACATCTACATGTTATAGCAGTCCTAATACAAATTTCAACGTTCTGAGGCTACTCGTTTTTGATTATGCGAGATACTACGTACCGTACGAGCCACGAAAAATTCTCTTCGGAATTCTTTAAAGCAGTTTTATAATTTTTTGGAGAAAAAGTCTTTTATTCTATCGTTACGTACAGATATCACGCAAAAACGTCGTTAAATTTCTTCGATAGCGGTCAAAAGGATATTTTCGTTGAAATATGGTGTCTGAAACTTTTCGCGATTACAATACTTCCTTTTTACTTCGTACAAGGAAATAGAAATGTATCAAAGGACGTTTGTACTGATTATCTATATTCATCTTCTACGGGTACTATAATGCGTTCAATATTTACGAAAAGTTGATGATGAACTGAGTAATACGTTAGTCAAACGATGACAAGTTTCAACAGGTTCAAAATTGTATTGTTTTATTAAATGCGTCGTGGTGAATTCCACGCATACTCTTAATGCGCAGGAACCTATGGACTGACTCGATATATATCTGTTTGTATATAGGGTATTAAGCATTCGTAGATAAAATTTCTATTTAATGACGAGTGTATACATGCATGCAGTAGTTGCAAGTATCACAAGAATGCATAGGAGAATCTTTACCTACAGTGAAAATTCGTGGCATTTGCAGATATCGGAAAAATTAAAATGCTTCCTCCAAATTTGAGTATCTTATTATATGGATTACCATTTAATTGATTATCTTTACAACATTAATTACAGTATCAAACGCTTTATTCAGCTTCTTTATTGTTTAATTCCCATTCATTCGTTTCGCTTCGTGATATTCAGTGAGCGGAAGATGTAGATGTTGCAAGAGGCTTGGCATCGATGCAGACCATTAATGCTTTGATGGAAATGGTAAGCTTTGCAATAGAGAACAATGCGATTTCGAAATGGGCAACGATATTAGTAAAACGGAGATGTGACTACACAGTTAATCATTACGACAGTGTACACCTGGCTTCCCCCCCAATTGCCGG